GACTTTGCTCTTGGCAATGCTCTTTGCAACCGCTTTAGTTGCAGCCTTAGCTTTGGGATTGGCACCTTTCTTAGCAGAAGGGTGGCTCATCTCTCCACTCAGACGCTTGCGCTTCGGGGCTGGGGAGATTGGGGGCTCATCTGGATTACGCATCATGTCCGCCCACTCTGCATCCAATGAATCCATGGCCGACTCAACATCCATTGGCGCTCCTGCATCCGCCATGGACAGGACTGCACCGCTCGGCGGCTCAACGAGGCCGTGCAACCCACACCCCAGAGCCCGAAAACTGGTCACCGCCAGCATGGCAAGCGAGGCAAAATGCAACATCTGCCAAATCAGAAGCTGAAGTGCACCATGTCAGACTGCAAGGAATGCCCTATTTCCGGGGCACAACGAGACATGCTCATGTCTGCACTGTCAAGACTTCCCTAAATACTGGCCATAGCTTGGCTTCGAAGACATGAGCCAACCGTCTGTACTTCGTTGCTTGTCATCATGAAGCTGGCTTCGGTCCGACAACAAGCGATAAGAAACTGCTGTCAGGCAAGCAACGACGTGTGTTTGAAAGTCTCTAGCCCAAGCTGCAAACTTAGAAAGATGCTCATACAAAGACTCGACAATGGCCTGCCGCTACACTAGACTATACTCTTTTGATCGGCTCGAGCTGCCCAAACCAAGCTTTTACAGGCCGAAACACAAATCTAGCTCCACACGGTATGTGCTCCAGCACACCCACGCTCATGGATCAAGTTGCATCTTGGGTTCAAGAATCTGGAAAGCCAATGCAAAGAACAAGCCCACCAGCCTACATTGCATGGCATTGCCTGTCATCTTCTTGGCGGCTGCATCTTTCAGGAAGATGTCGGCCTGGAACGGAAACGATCCGTCGTCCTTCATCCCAATCCCCATGCCAGGTACAGGCCAGCCCATTAACACAAAGAGCTCCTCGCTGATCAACACCCTCTGGTGCTGCATGGACCAAATCCTTGAGCCGCAGAGTATGGATGGCACCCCGGAGCCCAGCCTGGGTCTCCAAGAGACATTCTGCGAAAGATCTAC